GAAAATGAGCTTTTCAGTGATGATTCTGGCCTTCGTGGAAGCTCGGACGACGTTTGAGACTGATACCTTTGCCCACGATCCATTAGCAGATAGTGGCGTAACTCACCCGGCGTTGCCTCCCTGTCTTGGTAAATGTGTGTTCGCCTTCTGTCATCCACGCAGCTCGTAATTTAACTTTGAACGCCCTCTTAACACCAGTATTTTAGCAGTTGAAATTCTTTGGTTAATCCAAAACAGAACGTAGAGTCTCGTATCTCAAATCTTTACTCGTATCTTTACGCAAAAGTTTGCTGGAAGGCTTGCTTGTATCTCGGATCGTATGTCAGGATGCTTTTATCTCGAGGTTCCACTGTATTTACATTATTAAAAAAAAAAGTAGTTTTCATCTCATGCTTTAGACCGGACATTGGAAATCTATGGCCCGCGGGTCAGATACACCCCATTGTGTTTTCTAATCCGGCCCACCAAAATTTGATACAAGGGATGGTAAAGGTCAATGTCCATAATTTGTTTCATAAGTTCCAACAGAAATGACAACTGATTGTAATTTCGAAAGGTGTATCCGTATTAGTAGCAGGAACTGGCTCTTTTTTGCGAGTCTGCAAAAACATTGTGATCGGCAGTTGCTTCCGCTGTTTCTTTTTCCAGTCGAAGAGTAACTTGTAGGCAGTCATGATGTCATCGATTTTGTTGCAAAAATTGGACCAATCGAACCATATCGTCGTCTCATTCCTGTGACATCTCTTGCAGATTCAAATCCAGGATACAGTATATTTTATATGTACAGTTTCAAAAACCCGCTAAGTCATGTATCCATGAAAGATGAACCGCGAAATGGCGAGGGACTGCTGTATTGTGTACGGTACTCCCCAAGCAAAGAAAGTGTGGGCGTGGTCTACAATCTGTAGAAATGTACTCTTGAGTCTTAGCTCCATTGATTTCTGAGCACTGATATATTTTATACTTATATACTTATATTTTTACTGAATCTTTAACATCATTCACAGTCTTCCACACATGTGATGTCATCGACCTACCACAGCAGCAGCCTGTACCCTATACTTATTAGTTTAACCGTCCTCATGGCCAAATCAATATTCAGACCCTGGAGCAGTTAACTGTGGTAGAGAAAAGGGCAGGGGGAAAATAAGAGAGAGATCAGTGTAGGGGCAGTGTCTGATGTGCAGACAGTGCCCAACCTTCGAACACAATAGGTTCCGAGAGGCTGTTGGAAAGCTGCGTTGTTCGTAAGTCATACATTCAATTTTAATCTATAATTGATTCATTTGAGGTCATTTAAATGACAATACTACGCTAAATAAGAAAGTACTCTCCCCTAAGACTTACCAGAAACAATTACAGGACATAAAAACCCCCACATAAACATGATTATACAGTATATAATAAAAAGAAACGAAAAAATTACTGTAGTACCGTACTGTAACTTACCTTTAGAGCGAAGTCGATGTGCATATGTAGATGGTGGAGGAGGAAGAGGAAGAGGAGGGAGGAGTTATTGTTGGTGAGAGGCAGAGTTGTCATCGGAGAGGAAATGCGCTTTTTACCGCTACCACTAGCCCTAGCCTTATGAGCCATAATAAATAAGGTTAACTTGTACGGAAATGGTAAAGCATCCAAGGGGGTACGAAGCCTAACGCGCTAAGATGCGTATGGAGCGCTGCTGCTCGGTGTGGGTTGTGGCAGAAAGGGGAACTAATTGGATGCGGCGTGCGGTTCAAAATACAAACTTGCGTAGGCAATACGGCATTTTACGAACATTGATGAACATCAGTCAGCGGTCGTTTGTATTTACGAAACTCAGATGGCGCATATCTTGGGGAACTGCTGTATTCGTTATCAATGTGCATTTTTGCTTTATTTGTCTCTTGTTAAAAGTCTGTTTTGTTTTTCCCACACTGCAGAGGGGGAACAAAATTGGTTTGCTGACCGTTACCTCATCCAATCACATGTCAACTCCTAGTCTCCAACTTCTAGTCTTTTTCTACTCTTCTCCACCTTTTTGTCTTTTCTGTGTCTCTGCTTCTCTGGTCTCTAACATGTCAGCCGTGATGAGAAGTGAAGACTCTGGAGAGCAGAGAATTGTCCCCACTGAAACACTCGGAGAAAACAGACAAGCAATGATCAGTGCAGTACACACACACACCCAGACTGCTGTTTTCAATGAAAACTTCTCAGCAACAGACGTGTGATTGCCATCACCGTCTGAGGAAAAACAGCATCAGATTGACAGAATGCCTTCGTCCCTCGTTTTACAAACACTGTAAACATTGGGAAGAATCCTTTTTTTTTTTGTCTCTATTCGATCACCACTTGTGAAAAGATAACTTTTCTTCTTTTCCTTCCTCTTTTTGTTCCCTAATTGATACAGTACAGTTTTGTTAACAAGCTGTCTATTTCAGCCTCACTTCCTGTTGACCTGCTCATCTAGAAAGCACTAGAAGGAAATGTTTATCAATTTATAGAACCATTTTTCGCCAGTTAAGAAAATATCACTTTTTAGTCATTATTATGAGCCAAAAGAGATATATAGGTTTATAACAAATAGAGTAATGTACAGTATTAGTGTATTTGGGCGTAAAACAATTAGAAATTTTAATTTAGCAAGTTTTGACGTCATGTGTCAGAATGATGGAACCAAACGTTCTTAATAAACTTATGGGAAAGCATAAACATAGTATATATATATATATATATTTATGCCTCTATATATATATAGTTTTTTTTTCATTATATATATTCTGATCTGGAGTTACTTTGCCAGCCATGTTTGAAGGTGTTTGCATCATAAACATAAACATAGTATACATAGATACAAGATTACCGAAATACGAACCGAGGACTGGCACCCATTCAATCGTACGGCATGTGGAAGCAGCGAGCTCTGATGCCAAAGCAGTTGCCGAGTTCGTCATGAATTTTTAGTGTTTGATTAAAAAAAAAAAAAAAAACTAAAAGTATATATATAAAATCCTTCTCCTACGTTTAGTGGCCCCGAAGATACGAGCTCCCCGTAATATGAGTTTTCCAAGTTACGAGTAAGAAACCTTTGCAAGATTTTTTTTTTGAGTTGAGGAAACATGGAGTTACGAGTGCTCAACCCAGCAGCAGACCAATGTCGTCACACGATGATGTGATGGTTTACATTTGTGTTTTTGTTTTGTTTTTTTTTGTATGTTTTTTTACGCCCCCAAGCGTAAGTCAGATTTTTCCGATGTGTTTGTGTCCGACATTTTGACGTTATGTTTTGTTTTACGGCCCCAAGCGTAAGTCAGATTTTTCCGATGTGTTTGTGTCCGACATTTTGACGTTTACAGCATAGGTAAGCAATAGGTAGTTGCGTGCAGTATCTGAGTTTACGTACTTACGAAGAATATCGAGAACATCGCAATAAGAAACTGAAATCAAACGATCTGTCAAATTATAGCAGCATTAGCTCTGAATGAATACACGGTAGTGTTGGATCAGTCAATATCACCCAGTAGACCCAGGACTAACATAAATTCTGACCTTTTTTCCAACTTACTGTATATTTTAAATTCACCGCAATTTTGTGTAAGAATCATATAAGCAGATGTGTTTTTTTTTTACTCAGATCAAACTGAAATTCTTCGTCTTAGGTCTTCCAGGGCCTTCTCGCTGTTTTCTTCAACCTTGGGGATGGAGACTACAACATTGTCCTGCCCACGTATCGCATCGACAACGGAGAATGGCATGAGGTACTGCTGGACCGTCAAGACAATGAGATGACATTGAGGCTAGACGGAGGCGGGGGTCAACGAGAGGTCACGGGGTCCCACGGTCGGAGTCGAGAAATCATCATCGATCCGAGCATGGTGATTTTAGGAAATACCTTTCCATCAGAAATCAACAAAAGCTTCCAGGGTGAGTGAAGGGTTGTTGATGTGCATGCTCAGTTGGACGGACTTTTCACAGAAACACAAGACTTTTTAGAAAATCAGTCATTTCAGCTCACAATGAAACCAAGAGCTGCTAAGTTATTATACAATTTGGTAATTGTGATTAATCTGGGCTAAAATCACTGACTTTCCGAGACGTTTGCCCTTTATTAAGTGTATGTTTAAAGGAATAGCTGATCTTTTAAACAATCTAACTGACTGATAATAAAACACAGAGTAGAAAAGCTGAATGATTAAGTCTGTGTCTGACAGTTGACCTTATGTTTGGAGAAATAATGAGCTGACATTTCAGAAAACCACTTTGGACATGTCACACAGTTATAAGAACTTATTGGAGGAACCAGTGATTTTTCATTCAGGGTATAAAAAAAATATTCAACATATATTTTTTTTTTCAGGTTTAATATTGAGATTTTTCCAAATTAATTGGTTTAAATACTTTGGTCATGAAAAAGGAATTATTACATATGGTCTAATTTCAGCTTTTCAGTTGTATTGTCTGTTATCGTCAAAAGCTGCTTTCAAAGAGATTTTTCTGCGAAAAAACAAATCATTTCTGGACCCTGTAAAGTAGTTTTCAAAAACACCCAATCCAACCTGAGAAAGTTCTATTTCCCCGACTTCCTTGACACACTGTAAACTTTCTCCATCACCGTAGAGTTTAATCTCTACAGGTCATTGACATCTCTCTATCTGAATCAGACTGAAGGGACAGCAGCGACTGCTCTGATGGAAAGGTTAGAACACCTTCTCCACTACAAACAGGGGAAAGTTAAATAAAAAAAAAAAAGACACTTCGTTCCAAACATAAACAGAACAAGGAGGAGGCAGTGGGAGGTGACTGACCTGCAACACCACAGCTGTGCCGCTAAGCCACATTTCCTTTTGTTTATTTCATTTGTTTTGTCTAAACAACAAGCTTCAACAACAAGTTTTCTCTTTTTTCACTTAAATATAAAAAGTCCCAGCGATTCAATGGTCACATTAAGGCAGCAGTTGGCATGTAAAGGGCAGCTGCAAGTAAGCCAGAGTGACAGTAAATTTTCAAGAAATTATTAAGCACAGTGGAACCTCGGGTTTTCAAACTTAATTCATTCTTGTAGGCCGTTCCTGAACCAAAAAGTTCACAAAACTGAAACAATGTTCCCAATAGGAATCAATGTAAAATGGATTCATCCATTCCTGGACCCCAGATGATTGCTTATTCAAATGTTTTCAACAGTATTTTGTAAGTTCATACAGGAAACCAATGAAAATAATTAGATCTAACAAAAAGGAAAGGCAATTTCATTCATCCTTACCGGTGCTGAGGAGTCGTGATTGCGCAATGTTTACTTTGCTTATTATTGTCTCCAAAATACTGTCCACGGCCAACTGGTTTTCATTTATCCAAATCAGTAGCAACTTTTCCACTTCTTCGAATGTCTGAGATCTTTGTTTGGTGTCTCAGTCACTTCTTTTGACAACCTTAGCTTCTTTTATTGCTTCTTTGTTCTTAATGATGGTTCAAATCCATGACTTTGCTAAGCCATCCCGTAAAGCCAGATGTGAAACATGAATCCTTCCACTATCACTACCTTTTCTTAGGTCCCATGATGATTTATGAAATAGCACAGCGCAAGAAATACCGTCAGAATCAGACAATAGTTCTTAGTGTGTATCTCCCGAGTGATCACTTAGTGATCACTTGCTGCTTGTGTGGTATTGTTTGCTTGTTCAGAAACCGAGTTATGGTACGACAACCGGGGCAATTTTTGGTTTAAAATTTTTTTTGTGAACCGAATTGTTCGAAAAAGGGAGGCGTTCGACAACCGAGGTTCCACTGTATTAGTACAAAAGAGTGCCTAATTTTAACCAACCAACCCAATGTTTGGTAATAAACACAGAAAATTGTTACATGACATTAATAACTGTCAGCTATGAAAGGCTAAAAGATAACGGGAGATTTCTTCCTCTTGCAACAGATGACTGTAGGAAAAAAAAAAAGATGAAAAAAAAAGATTTTGAATGAGAGCCTCTCACATGGGTTGTAGCCTAGAGCGAGGCGCAAACCACAGTGTTGACAGAGAGGAGGAGGATTTCAGAGATCCACAGAGTGCGCTTCCCGGAGGTGTAGCGTGAGCGCACCTCACACAGCTCCGCCTCAGGATGAAAAGAGGAGCAACAATGTGTTTATGAAATTAAAATGTAGATTCTCAACCGTATTCTGTTTTCACAGAGGACAGGGGGAAGTGTGTGTGTCTGTGATTGTGACTCAGTAAACTGTGACAGTGGGACAGAGTGTTTTCAGCAGAACGGCAATTAAACTCAGAGCAGCATGAAGAGAGCAGAACTGTGTGTCCTTTGGTACCGATTGTTCTATGTCATACCACAGTATCACCAGAGGAACACTGGGGTGAACATAATGAGTTCTCTCTCTCTGTGTGTGTGTGATCGGTACCTGAGCTGCACTTTCAAACACATATGAGGAACTTTGATCTTCAGGAACATCATGAACCTGGTTGGGTTAAACCAGCGGTGATTGTTCTGAGGTAGCGAGAGTATTTCAGATTTCTGTTGAAAGCCAGAAAATATCGTTACGTTAAATTTACTAATGTGTAGATTTGACCGGCTGCAGTATGTGGGATAAGCTCGAATTATGACGGCGTTCAGTTCTTACAGTGCTGCAAACTTTTCCAAATTATATAATGTATTGGCAAACTTTTCCAAATAATATAATGTATTTATATTATCATTTTATTTCTGCCTTTTCCCTGCATTATTCACGTTTCCCCAATAGATGGCGTACTGCATTATCCACGTTTCCCCAATAGATGGTGTAGAAAATGATAAAAACATTTGATCATTTTAGCCTTTTACATGTAATTTATCTTAGTTCACACAAACGCTCCATCTATTTGATCCTCACCTGGCCCGCGAGTCAACGTTTGCCCACGTCTGGTTTAAGAGATACAGTATATTGCCTAAGATGTAGAAAATTCAAAAATATTTTTTTTCAGGTCCACTGTTTTCTCTGTATCACCCCCCCTGCAGGCTGTATGAAGGACTTGCGTCTGAATGGACGGTACATTCCTCTGGAGAGTCAGCCGCGTGACGGGGTCTCCCAGGTCAGCGTTCAGGGGCTGTCCCTCGGCTGCCTTTCCGACTCTTGTAAGAAGAACCAATGCAAACCTCCATTCACCTGTGTGGACCTCTGGAGAGTGCACGAGTGCAGGTATATGCACGCACACAGAGACAAACACACACACACACACTTCCTCATCTGAGATGAAAATGAATGATTTTGTGAAGCAGACTGCATTCCCTTCACTTCTGCTGGGTCAGCATTTTTACACATGCAGCTGAATGGACTGGCTCTTTCCATATTCTCCGGTTTGTTTGGGTGTTTGTCAGCAGGGAAATGGGAAATGTGCTGCAGCGAGAATGTGAATAAACAAACAAACCAACCAACAATCCGGTGTCTCTCCTGCGACTTCTGAGAAATCTGACGGTTTGTTCAGAGTCACGTCTTCTAGCTGACGGTTTGTTCAGAGTCACGTCTTCTAGCCTCAGCGGTTTTTCCCTTCATCTTCATTTCATCTTCAAGCTTTTTTTATTTCTAATCTATTCAACCACACAGACTGGTTTCATTTAGACCAGTGGTTCTCAATTATTTCCTATCATGCCACCGACTTGGGGACAGAAATGTTTTCAGACCCCCGCGAATTATGATACTATTGAGAACATGATAAAAATGTATATTTTTATCTGTTCAAACCACTGTATGAGTTGCTGCCACCTAGTGACTGGAGGCTTGTTATCATTCAAGCATAACAGCAGTGGTACCCTTATGTCCAGCGTGCCATATTCCATTTGAAGCCCCTCACGCCCCACCGCGCCTCCCCTACTGATTTAAACAAAGGTCTCACAAACTACTTCGCTCCTCCAGCCCCCTCCTCTCTCCGTTTTTTTTACCCCCTCTCTTTTGTGTTAGCTCCTTATCTTATTTTTCCTTCTCCCTTTTCTTGTACATCTCTTCTTTTTCTATAATTTATTCGCCTTTCCTGCTTTATTTTTCTTTCTCCTTCCTCTGCCTGTCTTTAAAACGTTCACACCTAATTTTCCACATTTAGGCTAGATACAAGACGTACTTTGAACATTCAATGTTTTTTTTTTTTTCAATTCTTTACTTTTTTTCAATTTTTTTGTTTTTCAAGTTTTTTTTCAGTTTTCAATTTTTTTGTTTTTCAAATTTTTTTTCAAATTTTCAATTTTTTTTTGTTTTGTTTTTTTCTTCCAAATCGCCAGCGTAACTGTACACCTGCCTGGTGATGGCAATCGCCAACGTAACTGTACACCTGCCTGGTGATGGCAACACTAAATCTGACTGGTTTAAGAACCATTTTATTGCCATTCATTTCACTGCGGATTCTGGTGGCCGTAAGACAGATTTCTTTCATCCTTGAAACATGTGAGGCTGAAATATGATTGGATAAAATTCTTGAGTATACGCGACCGGAGCTAAAAGAAACGCCATATAATTAGACAGACTATTCTGTATTATTCTTCATAAATATTTATGATGCTGGCCCTGACTGTACGCCACTGGTTAAATGGTGTTCTTCTAACCTACAACCCAAACATGTCGTGAGTGAAGAGAACTTAGCACAGTTGGACTTTTATCCAAAGAATAATTATAAAGCAGCATACGGACCTGACCTCCATTTAGACTCCACTTAATGAGATTTCATTTTCTGATAAATGTGTTTTATCAAAGTGTTGTATTCATTAGATTCCAGAGGTTATTAGGAGGTTTAAATGGACCTTTTACACCATTCAATAAACTGATGATACACGGCGGTGTGAAAGGTGAAGGGCCGTGAAAAGGTTGAACCTCGTCAGTTTTACAGCTAAGTTGATATATGTGAGTGACGGATGAAAAAAACCTGAGAGAATAATTCAGTTGCATTTACAGAAATAATGCTAAAGATTTGAAGTAACTCTAGAACCAACCCACTTTCCAAAACAAAAAGTGATCTGAATTGCTATCTTCTTTAGTAAGTTCAAAGATGTTGTTTATTCCCTTTGATGTGAAAACACCCCCTTTTTCCAGATTTACTCTGGTACCATAAGAGTTTAATATTCTTTGACTTCTGATTTTGGTCTAAGACTTAGTCAACAATCTTCTTTTCGAAGACGATACAACGACAACTGAAAATGAAGTTATGTCGGTCGCAGTGACGATGAGTTCGTTTATGATGTAATTGTCAAGTCATAAATGGGTTAAAGAGAACGGGGGGAAAAAAGGAAGACGATTTTAACTGTCAAGGTAAAATATTTAAGTGCTGATTTCAGGAAAACATATTCCAAAATGAGAATTAACTGGATCAGTTGTTCCCAATTTTTTTGGCTATCTATCTATCTATCTATATATATATATATATATATATATGTATATGTATATATATGTATATATATATATATATATATATATACATATACATACATACATACATACAGTCCCCTTCAAAAGTATTGGAACGGCAAGGTAAATTTCTTTTGTTTTTGTTATATACTGAAGACATTTGGGTTTCAGATCAAAGGATTATGGAGACAAAGGATCTGAGACAAAAGTTCAGAATTCCAGCTTTTATTTCATGGTTTTGACATCTAGATGTGTTAAACAATTCAGGACAGAGCACCTTTTCTTTTCTTCAGTATACAACAAAAACAAAGGTATTGAATATTGATAGCATGCACATGAAGTACGTGAACATTTATTTAGGTCTTTGTTGTTTGAAAAAAAAAAAAACCCCACTTTCAAAAATCGCTCCAAATTGCCATCGCATTTTTACCAATACAGTGGGTCTTCAATATACCAGCTACCCAAAAACTTGGAATAGTTTTCCAAGTTACGCTCAACCTCTCTCTCTCTCTCTTTCTTTGGGATACGAGGAAACATCGAGTTACGAATGCTCAACCCAGCTCTATTTTTCCACTGTCACTGTCTCGCTTTCTCTCTCTCTCTCTCTCTCTTTCTATCATCTAAATCGAGTCCTCACTCCCAGTCCTTCTCCTACACGTGGTGGCCCTGACATTCTGTCATGCTGTCTCGCTCACTGTCCCTCGCTTGGTAATTTTACCCATTTTTATAATAGTATTATTTTATATCATTAATATATTTATTTATATCTATGTTTTTGATCTTTAGATGGGGGGTTCATTTAATGAATTACTAGATATATATAATATATATTATAATATATATAATAGAATATAAAAGTATATTTCTGCGGATTAAACTCGTAGCTTGAAGCCCCAACTTTTATTTATGATCTCCAGCCATCAGTAAATTATTCCTAAAACTTAAAGTTCGTGCCAGCTGTCATGGCAAGGTGTGAGTCTTTGTTTATTTGTTATTTGTGAAGTGTGACCCCGAGAGACTCAGACTCAATCACCAGCAGCTGAAGACCAACAGATAGCCATCCCTGTGAACCACAATCACTGGACATGGACTTTGTTGTGGGATAATGAAATGTCAGATTCCCTTTGAAAAAACTGAGATGAAAAAAAAAATTCACAGACTAAATTCACTGTTTCCTGCTGCCAGCAGAATTTCTGTTACAACACAGTCATTCGAGCCTGTGGTTTAATTACCTTTTTAGGATGTGCTTTTTGCCGCTAAGTGTCTGCTTTTACTTTTAATTATCAATGTAAGAGGCCTCGATGCAGCTCTTTAAAGTAGGTGTTATTTTTATTTGAGCTAATAATGGGATTTTTACGACGGGCTGTGTTGTGAGTGGACTCCAAGGTCACAACAGAACAAGACAGATTTAAAAAGGGTTTGTGTGGGTTTCCCACAGTCTTTAAATGAGAAACTGCTCGGAGCAAAAATCGTCTTGAAACTAAGCTAAAACCTGGACTTGAAGAAAAACACTATCGTTTTATTACAACTGGAGCTGTAATAACATAATTAAGGAAAACAAAATCCCACAAAGTACAATTTAGCTAGAGCTGTGACATACATTTAACCAAAATACCATCCTCCACTATTTCCTTAAGATGAGTTCAATGACTCTAACAAATCTAACTCTGTATCTCCATCCATGTTAAAGATGAAAGTCCAGTCTGTCTTTTCGTTTTTAGGGCATGAGTTTGAATTCATTTTAGGCTGAGAATGTCCACTGGACAGAAGCAGTGGATGCGTGCAAGTCCATAGATATAGTTTTTACAGACGGGGCTGTGCGTTCTTTGACCGTCCAATCAAATCACTCAAATCACCAACATTATAACTGCAAGAAGGCCTCGGTGTCGCCAACTCAAAATCTATGAGTTTGTTGATAGCAGTGGTTCTCAATTATTATCTCTCATGCCTCGTAAATTGAAATACCACTGAGAACTTGATAACATGTATATTTTTATCTGTACAAACAACTGTATGAGTTGCTGCCACCTAGTGACTGGAGGCTTGTGATCATTCAAACATTACAGCAGTGGTACACATATGTCCAGCCTCTAAATATTCATGAGAAATATAGTGAAAAAAACTGATTCCGTTATTGTTTAGACTAGCAGAGAAGTGACAGTCCACTACTGCGGAATTCATGAACGTAGCCTTATTTGATGAACAGAAGTACATTTCCATAGTCTGAGCAGACACCAACGCTTCTTCCTGAACATAAACCACTTAGCCTTTGCAGTCAGACTCTATTGGAATGCGTTGCACTGTGACTTTTGTCAGTTGAACTTTAATTTCCAGTTATCACGTGCACTGCTTCAGCATCTGAGAAATGAATGTTTCCATTTGAAAGAAAAAAGTGCAGTCAATATTTACAAGCCGGAAACAAATCTCCCACCGAGCGGAATCGAACGCTGTGACTGTGATGTCATACGACGTGTTCGGTACAGCAACTCTTCTGTTCACATCGACTCAGAGGCTGAATTAATGTCCTCGTAAAATGTTTGTGTGAGCTTTTTCACACAAATGAGCTTTTAATTATGCAACGTTTTCTCCAGCGAGGCAGAAAATGTGTTGTCGTCTGCACAAAATCTTCCAAACACACACGCACAGATTCCTGTTTTCCGCTGTGAACCTGACAGTGTTTCCATCTTCTTCTTTGTTTTCACTGTGGGGAAACTGTAAAAGGAACTTTAAATTACACCCTGTTTTCCCTGTCTTCATATTCACATTCATCCATATTTGATCTTTTTACGGGCTTTGTTTAATTTAATTTTTTTTAAATTTTATCCCACTAAATGTGTTATTTTGGTAGACATATTGGCAAAAAAAAATCACATTTTAAATCACTTATATATATAAAAAATAACTTTTGACATGTCCCTTGATCAGGGGATGCTAAAATGGCATTACAATTTGTTAGTCTTAACTTAAAGAAAACTTCAGAAGGCTCTAAATAGAACGCTACTTTCAATACAAAAGAGTTAGCGATATGAAGAAAATGCTAAAAATAAGCCAATAAGCCATAAAAGTACGATGACTTTTGTTTCCCCCAAATAAATTATCCCAGAAATACCCTAAGTAAAATTGTAATAGTTAAGCAAAAAATAGCACAGGTAAATTGCTTTCAACTCCAAAACCAAACAAAAAGACACAATGTTTTTTTTTTTTTCAGATGTCCTCCAGGTCACATGATCCGCGTGAACGGCTCCAGAAGAACCTGTGTCTACACCTTATGTGCCACTCGTCCATGTCACCACGGGACCTGTGTGGCCCAGTCTCCGTCTAAGTTCACTTGTCAATGTCCAGAGGGCTACAGGGGGCGCCACTGTGAGACCCCGTTGGCCATTTACAGAGAGGACGTGGGTCTGAGTTTCAGCTCTCTGTTCGCCATCGTCATCTGCTTCATGGCTCTGTTAGGTAAGTGTGTAAAATATTCTTTTTTTTTTTTGTAAAATTACAATATCTTTACAACGACTTTAATATTTTAGCTACATCAACAGATTCACTTTTTAAGCTCGGAACTCTGGTGTCATTGAAAAAAGTTGTGAATGTTGTGAAACAATGTCAAGATAACTGGCTTTTTACACTTGAGGTAAAAACCAGCAGTTTGACAGATACAGTACCTGCTTCACAGACACAGTTTTCTCCTCTCAGACAAACTGAGACATAAATAGTCTGGATAAAATAAAAAAAACAAACCTATAAAATGAGCAGACAGCTTGCAGCTGTAACACACAGAGACATTCGCCGTAGCTGTGTAGCCTCTCAGTAGTTACTAATGATGGCATTGGGATGAGTGATTTATTTCGTCCGTTAGTTAGAAAGACTCCTGGAGACAGTGTGACTTCAACCAGACTGGCGTTGTGTGCACCTCTCTGAGCTCCCTGTCATGGTTATTATCTCGCACACTTCCTTATCAACCGCCTCAACTCCATCTCAGGAACATTTGGTTATATAAATAAATAAATGAACAGCAGGTTCAGCCGCAGCTCCAGCCTGTTTAAATGCCAGCAGAAGTCACAGTGTCAGGAGATAATGTTCTGACTGAAGTGAGCTCTGCCAGAACCAGAAAGGTAAAGACCACAAGCATTTACTGTCGGTGAACAGTGATTCTGATTTTTTTTTTTTTTTTTCTGTTGCTTGAATTATTTATTACCAAAAATAGTACAGTGGCAATTTGGCCCAGAGGAAATGTCTCTGTCATTGGTGTGTAACCCCAGGGTTCAACTCCTGGGCAAGATTGAATCCTGGTTAGGGCGGTTGGTACCTTCTAGTGGACTCACCACCCACAGGAAGGTTAACGAGGGGCTGGTGCGGCGCAGTGTGATTTGGGTGGCGGTCATGGAGACTGCTGCCCCCGTGACCCATTAACGGATGAGCAGACGAAGATTGATGGATGGAGGGAAAAATACTATAAAAAACACATGGACCAGAGTTCTACAAAAGTCATTTTTAAAATAAACGAATACAAATCTAGTTACAGTGAGACATAGAGAAACATAAGAAACCCAAAACAACATATAAAAGTAGTAAAACAAGAAATAAAAAGGTCATCGGTTCTGAGTTACTTAAGCATTAAAACAGCACTCCAAAATCCACCAGTAGGGTGTAGTCACCTTGTTTGTAAAGTTGTGGTACTTTGGCGTGTCTAAACTCAGCAGCGATGTCTGCGTTCCACAGCAACAGCTGTTGCTCTCGAGCGAGATCAACTCCCCGAAGATATGTGATCACGACGTTCTTGACATTTACTGTACCTTTGTGAATGTACATTGAATATTAATTTATAATTAGAAAGTATTTTACAATTCTTGACATTTACTGTACCTTTGTGCATGTACATTGAATATTAATTTATAAATAGAAAGTATTTTACATTGTTATTCATGGTCGTGTATTTAATGTATTTAACATGTACAGTATGCCTTATATTATCATTCTACAACTCTACTGTGCATATACAGTAATTGTGTGGGAAAGGGTAATACAGTCTTGGGAGGGTTGATAACAGTGTGGGGGAGGTTTGTAAAGGGTAAATATATACAGAAATTATATAAAAACTATCTCGCCTCTCCCTAACGGATTTACCCTTTCTCTCGGCGGGTCTTGGAAATCAACTACGACGATAGGAGAGGAATTACTGTATTACGGTTTTGCTCGGCGTGTGAACCAAAACCTCAAAATCTGCCTTAGATTAACCAATCCTACGGAGTCTCGCACGTCCTCATTTCCCACTCATTACCATTTGTTCTGTATTGTTTTAATTGCTATCCTTATTGGAAGGATAAAAATGTTAATTCTCGTGCTGATCACATCACAACATGTAGCTAAGTCCGTTAAGAAATTGCGCAAAATCAACGCACACTGAATCACCTTCTGAATGTGAACGAGAACAGGTGTTCAGCAAACCCCACATTAAAAGTCAGTGTTAGGTATGTCCGATAATATCGGTCAACCGATATTAGCATAATTATGTAATCCGTCCATCCATCCATTTTCATCCACTTATCTGTTACCGGGTCGTGGGGGCAGCAGTTGCCACCCAAATCACACTGCACCGTACCAACCTCCCTAAACCTTCCTGTGGGTGGTGAGTCCACTGGAAGGTATTAACCTCCCTAACGGGATTCAAACCTACCCAGGAGGTGAACCCTGGGGTTCCACACCAATGACAGAGACATTGCCTCTGGGCCAAAGCGCCACTAATTATGTAATATCAGTTAGAATTGTTATTGGTTAATTCTTCGATAATGAAATCCCTTCAACCAAAAAAGCTGCGTATAACATTATCGGTTGATGTCGGAATCCAAAATTTAATGTTTGGACAATATCGACACGTTATCGCATATTAGCAAAAAGTTAATGTCGGACATCCCTAGCGAGTGTTAAGTGTTTTGTCAGTGAGCTCCTGTTGTTGACTTATCTCTTAATCAGGGGTCATCACAGCAGTAGTCCAAATGGTAATACAGTTTTACACTGGATGCCCTTTTTAGGTAGGACTCCTTCTAGTGGCAAAGAGAGGTCCTACCTCTGTATTAGGCCCTAAACAAATGAGGGTAAAACTGCATTCTGCTTGCGTCGAAATATTATCTCTAGGAGAAAAAGCAAGGAGGATTTCTGCATTTGGATACCGTAAAAAAACGTCCTCTGCTGCAGAGGGATGAGTGGTTTAACTCAAATATCTACTTTTTGTTTGTTATCTATTTGTTTTATTTGTCTGGCTTGTTCAGTTTTCATCCTTCTGTTCCTCCAGATCCTACATTTTTAGTCCTGATTCCAGGTCTGAAATATGGGCTTAGAGTGACTTACTCTATTTTGCGTTTGTAATTTCTTTCTTCAGGGACATAAGTGAGTGTAAAAGATATTTAAAGAGGGAAGCAAGGGAACAGATGGGAGGAGAAAGAGGTGAAAAGATTATCAGGGTGAAAGAAAAGTACCAAAATATGTAGAAAGATTACACACAAAGTAATGGGATTTTGACATGGATGAGTCGTAGTCCCCACAAGTCTTGGTCTCAACTGAGTCCTTTTCTCACCTCTGTCCTACATAAATCTCCAGTCAGGCTGAGCATTGATTTCATAATTCCGCTAAGATCTAGCTCTGATCCTGCTGAGACCCGGATCTGGTTTGAGTAATAATTCCCTGATTTGTAGGCATCTAAGGAGCTGTTTACCAAAGTGGAAAGAAACCAGCAGAAAGTAGATCAATGCTCTGGAGCTCAAGTGGTAATTTCAATCAGCCTCAGGTTCCACACTAAATCCAACATTTCTCACTCCAACACTTAACTAGTGTGTTTTTATCTTTAATGGTCTCCGCCGACTCTCAGAGGATTCACGCCAGTATATTGAAAATGTGAACAAGAAGGATGGATGGATGGATAGATGGATGGATGGATGGATGGATGGATGGATAGATGGATGGATGGATAGATGGATAGATAGATAGATGGATAGATAGATGGATTGATAGATAGATGGATAGATAGATGGATAGATAGATAGATCCATCCATCCATCCATCCATCCATCCATCCATAGATAACCGTCCTATTATGCTTCTCCAGACCACCACATATGCTAGATTTGGTTAATAGGGGTCTGGATTATTATCTTTCACATATGCTCTTTTTTCACTTAAACAAAAATCGACGAAGATCCATTTTTTGATCCCGTAAGTAGTAAAAGCGCAGCAAATACACTTTTGTGTTCACAGGAGTATACAGGATTTCCTGCTTATTTGTTATCTTTTTTTGTTCAGATTTCGGAGGGCATCAAGTGCATGTTGAATTTGCGCAAATTCTAAAATGACACAGACATTGTCGTGTGATCCGCACAACAAGAAATAATAAAATATTTGGGAATTTTCACCTCTTCCAATATGGACAACCACCTATGGCATGTCGCAAAAAAAAAAAAAATTGGAGAGAATGATCTGCCAGGAGAGGTGCACTAAGGATACGACAATTAGTGGGAAATGAGCATGAGCAAGACTCCGCGCGGTTGGTGATAGTAAGGCAGATTAATAGTTTGTGGTGTTTGTTCACACACGTGGAGCAAAATCCAAAAAGTCCTTATGGCCTTGCACCCGAATTAGTTTATTCAGGATCGAATCCCCATCTCTAGGTCTGTTTAGTTTTTGCACAATAGTTGAGTGCAGCGTGTACTTAAATGTGGAGCTATGTGAACTAGTCTCACTCTGCAGCGAGTACTGTACTAGGTGCCAGTGGAAACGGCAATACATACAGTCCTTCTGGTGGCAGTCCTATACTACACCATCTGCTCTAGCCCCCGTACAGAGTAATTGAGGATATATGGTACTTTATGATAAGCACCATTAAGGATTCAGACCATTGTGAGAGAGGATTGGGATGTTTATTTGCAACATGGATTTGTAATGGATCCAGTGCTGAATTCTAATCAGTCCAGGTGGCGGTGGGAAGACATGGCAGGGAGCAGGTGTTCCAACAATCCTCTCAGGATTCTAGCAGTGGTTTTCAGAGTGGACTGAAAACTACTGCCACGGATCTCGATGAAGCAGAAAGTCACGAACCAACTCCTGGAACTCACTCCAGCTCAATGATAAAAACTGGGGCTGAGGAATGGGCTGAGAAGCAGAAACCTACTGAGTCCAGTAAGTTGAAAGGTAAAGTTTCCAATGGAGAAAATATGAGTGGCTGTGGACCATGTCAGAGTTCTGTCTCCTGACAGACTGAAAGATTCATAACCTCAGCCTCTAAATTCTTCATGTGACTGAATATTGATTCAACTCTCAGCATCGGGGCGGACTCATTTATTCTCGGTGTTTACTTTGGCGTTGGTGTGTTTGTATCGGGGTGTAAATATCATCCCTCCTCTTCCTCTTCATCATCACCTTCTCCTCTTGCAGTTTCATATTTATTTTTCTCTTCCACTTCTGTCGCC